GGGCCGCCCCGCGCGCCCCGGCGGGCCCTGCCCCGGCAGGGCCAGGAGGTGTGCGGGCTCCGGGAGCGGCTGGAGCAGGAGCTGCTGGCCCTGCAGGACCGGCATGGCGCCGAGGTGGAGGAGTACCAGGTGGGTGGCCCTGCCCAGCCCCTGTCCTGTCCCCTCTCCCAGCCCTCTCGGCCGCTCCCTTCCCGCCCTGCGCTGTTTGTGCTGCTCCGGGTCTCCTCCCGCCCGCCCACTCTCTTCTCCCCTCCCGAGATGTGAGCCCGGTTTCCCACTCCTGTCCCTCCTGTTCCCAGCCCTTCTGTCAGCACGGGCTTGGCCTCCCCACAGGAGGATTTTCCCAGGCTGGAAGAGGAGGTGGCTCGGCCAGAGCTTCTTGCTGCTGAGCCTTTCCCTGAGGAGAGCAGGAGCCCCTTCGAGACCCACCGCCCCGTTTGGGGAGAGCTGGGTGGGGATCCCAAAGGAGGCATCTTCCCGGTGACAGGTGCTCCCTTCCCTGCCCTGCCCTCGGAAAGTACCCAGGAGCAGATGGACCGGGTCCCCAGGTGCTGGGAAGCAAAGCTTCCCTCTTAGCCTGTGTTATGAGCTTGACTGGTTGTGGTGACAGAAATGGTCTCAGGTTTTTTTTCCCCTCTTTACAAGTGCTCCTGTGCACCCTGAGAAAGCCTGGGGGGCCTCAGAGTAGCTGGGGAAACGTGAAGGCAGGAAGACTTGTTACTGTGCTCCAGGCAGGGAGCAGTTTGGGAATTTCTTAAAAATAAAGCAATGTAGGTGACTGGTACCTGCTTGAGGTGGATGCTTGGTGTTCAGCAGAGGGTTACAGCATCTCTAGCTGAGAATCTGCTTGTTTTCTAAATAACATTTGGTACAACGATGTGTAATCACCCTGTGTGTGTGTGCATGGATCAGCAAATGCCCACACAGCCAAGCATTGGGTGTTAGATCATCCAGCACGTATTAGATCATCCCGACCAGCGATCGATCTCCTGAGGGCAATATTTCTTTTGTTTATTGTTAGACCCTTTATTAATGCTCTGCTGGAGCTGGGTGTTTGTCCAAACACCATGTGCTCGTGGTCACATTGTGCCCAACAGCCCTGGTAGATAATGGAGACGCTGGTGGCTGGGAAAGGGCTGGGACCTGTTGCTGGGTGTCTGGTTTTTGTACTTTGCTAGGTTGTTAGCAAGTTGCATAGTTTGCAGATGCTGTGAACTGAGGCAGTTTTGGTATGTAAGAAGTAATCAGAAAGGCTTTTAACTTTTATTTATTTATTTCATTTTTGCTAGGACAATTAATTATTCCAATCGTGTACATAAACATTTTCAAAGCTTTGTAAGAAGATGTTATATGTAAATCCCTCATTAATTCAATCTATCCATCAGTTCAAGCCAGCTGTAAAGAGGGAAAACACCCCTCTTAATTCCTCCTGTTTTTTAAGGAGTGTAAGTTTATATAATGTATATAAGCCTACCAATATTTAAAGTTACTTTGATTTCCAAAATACATATTTCTTGATGTTTGTATCAGGGATTTACAATGAAAATTTCTTTGCTCTTCAGTCATCAATGCTCAAATTGAAATTCTTTAAATATGGTGTTAACAAGAGCATTTTGAATAGCTCCCTGTCTGTGCTACAAGTTTTTCTTCTAAAGCCAGTTAGAATGGGTGTGTTCAGATACCTGACACTTTCATTATAGCAGCCTGGTGTCCCTGTGTCTGGTTGTAATTGAAATAATTTTATTCAGAATAGCAAATTAAAACAGAGAAACCCACTGTAGAAGTCAGATGATTAAAATCAATGCATGCCCTTGAATTGTCCTGATTAGACTATTAGAAAATGGATTGTTATTTTGATACCAAGATGACAAACTTCCGTTTTGCTCTCATGAGCATTTGGCATGATTTTGGATTTTACAGGAACAATAGCTTCAAATCTTAGTAATACAAGAAGAAAAACAAGTGCTTTGATAGCCAACCTGAAAACATGTGAGCTCTGTTAACTTTTAATTAGTATCTAGATAGTACTTAAGTTCTGGTGAAAATGATATAAAGTTTATAACTTCTGAAGGGTTTCCTATTTACAATATTTCATTTATAATAATGAGAGAGGCTTTTTCCAATGACCAGTCTACTGTACATGAGAAATAAAATATCACTTGCTCACATCCAGGAATAAAAATTATTTGCTCTTCAGTCATCAATGCTCAAATTGAAATTCTTTAAATATGGTGTTAACAAGAGCATTTTGTATAGCTCCCTGTCTGTGCTACAAGTTTTTCTTCTAAAGCCAGTTAGAATGGGTGTGTTCAGATACCTGACACTTTCATTATAGCAGCCTGGTGTCCCTGTGTCTGGTTGTAATTGAAATAATTTTATTCAGAATAGCAAATTAAAACAGAGAAACCCACTGTAGAAGTCAGATGATTAAAATCAATGCATGCCCTTGAATTGTCCTGATTAGACTATTAGAAAATGGATTGTTATTTTGATACCAAGATGACAAACTTCCGTTTTGCTCTCATGAGCATTTGGCATGATTTTGGATTTTACAGGAACAATAGCTTCAAATCTTAGTAATACAAGAAGAAAAACAAGTGCTTTGATAGCCAACCTGAAAACATGTGAGCTCTGTTATCTTTTAATTAGTATCTAGATAGTACTTAAGTTCTGGTGAAAATGATATAAAGTTTATAACTTCTGAAGGGTTTCCTATTTACAATATTTCATTTATAATAATGAGAGAGGCTTTTTCCAATGACCAGTCTACTGTACATGAGAAATAAAATATCACTTGCTATAATTTTTATTCCTGGATGTGAGCAAGTGTAGAAGCAGCTGTTTCAAGTTTTGTTCTTGTGATCAAAGCTTATTTCCCTCCCTCGTTGTCTCTTTCATTGCTGAAAGTATGTTCAGCATGGATTGTAAACCACTCTTTAAAGAGCATCTATTCCATGCTTATTTATTATAAAGTGTCACACAGAAATTATATGTATGTGCAGATCTAAGTCAAGCAATTACTGTCCGTTCCAGCTGAAATGGCAATTAGATTTATTCATATTTTCCATATATCATCCAGTCGCCTTATATGTCCATCTTTGCCTCCTGCACCATCCTTATCCTCACTAAGCTTTCAGCAATGCTAAACAGAAATATGCATTTGGAGTTACAATTTAGCTGAACCAGGCAAGCAGTGAATCATACATTATTTGGAAAATTTTCACTGGTCCAGGGATCAACTCAGTAGGTCTTCCATAATTTTGGCTATGTGTGTTGACAATATTTATGAAAAAAACCTCCCAGTTATTTGAAAAAGCTCTGTATTTTTTTTTGGAAGTAAAAAATGGGCATGGCTCATCCTGCTGCTTGGGAACGGGCCAGACATTTTTCACAAATAGAGTGGGTTTAGAATCAGTTCCTGCATCAGTGTTATGAGCTCCAGAGAATGAGGAAACATCTCATCAAATGATCTTAATAGTATCTGTATGCCATGTGCATTTTTGTTGTGTACCAGTTTCTAGCCAGCTGAGTGCAGTGTCAGTTCCTCCCCTGCTGAGCCATTGAATGAGCCATGGGATCAGTAAATAGTACCAGATGGAAAAGGCTGGAGCCTGGAAACCTCTGTTTATTCCCTGAGTAGGTGCAGCTTGGAAAACTCAAATAAATTTTCCCCTACTGCCCTTCTAAAATTTCCCACTGCTGCCTGAAGAGGAATGTCTGGAGGGTGAGAAAATCACTCTCTTCAGTTAGACAGTTCTAGCAGGACATGGCCGGGGTTTGGGGGAACATGGGCTGGACAAGGTTGAGAAACAAATCCTCTGTGAGGGAAGCACAGCTGCAAACACACAGGTTCCCTTTTGCAAAATGGAAGTTTATCAGCTTGCAGTGTTCTGAACTTTGCTGAAGTCATGTCCTTTCTGGCATGCTTGGAAATGGGGTTTAAGACCAGTTGTCCTCTGCGTTATGTTGAAGCACCACTGGAGGGCCAGGGGGCTGCCTGCCATCCTGTCTATACGCCTGCTCCTGTTGGAATGGATTTCTTTGGAACTATTACACAGCTGGCTGAGTTATGTGGCCCCTTATGGTAGTCATTAGGATAGTGTGTTTAACTCAGGCTTTGGCATCCTAAATGCTCCTCAAATCCAGTGGCTGGAATCTAGGTGGCTTTTCCAACCTGGGCTGTAGACCTTTGGAATGACCCAAGTTCCTGTGGCTTGAGGTGTGACTATCTCTAGTCTTTGAGAGCTCCACACACTCTGTAGCCCAGTGTACAGTCTCCCTGTGTTGATTCTCCTGGGCCTGCAGCCAGACCTGTGCATCAGGAAGCTCTTTTTAACATGTGCATGTGTGTAGGTTTTGTGATCAGAGTGCTTCTCACCTTTAGGGGTTGGTCCCATGGAGATCCAGTCTTACCAGTGTTTTGCTCCTTTTTCTGTCTCCTCTGTCAACACCCTGTCCATTCTTGCTTCATAGACTTTTCCTTTTAAAAGCAGTGCTTTTCTTTGCCTCTCATCTTGGGATTTTCCCTTGTGCCAGTTCTTGAACAGAATTGTTGCCTCGGAGCCACTAAAGGTCAGCAGTTCTGTTTGCTGCTCTGTCTGGCCATGCAGGATGTTACCTCCACTGCAGCCTGGGGGAGGCTGTTGAGTGGCTGATAGAGCTTTTTCAGATCTGCAGAGGATTTGTCTTCAGCCATAAAAAGGGAATTTTAGGTACCCTGAAGACTGTAGGCAAGGTTTGTTATGTTTAAGAAAACATCAGTGTCAGTAACAACAGCTGCAAATGCAGAGGAAGAAATAGTTTAACGTGTTACATAGAGAGACAAACTCATATGCATATGAAGATACTGGCAGCTTCATAAAGCTTTCTTTTTACTTACAAAAAAGAGACTGTTAATGTTTGAAATGCCAGCACTTTATATTTTTAGGTCTTAAACCTTACTTCTGCCTATCATATCCAGTCTGGGGAGTCCCCTGCTGTATCTTCATTTTTATGCTATTGCTCATACTGTGATACTTGAACACTTGCTGCATATACATGATGGATCTATCAGTGTCTCGATTTCTCAGTTTGTATTTGAAAGCATTTGTTAGGATGCAATCTAAAATACTGTCATGAATCCCTCTCTGGTGTTGTATTTGTGTGTGAGATTTTGCTCTGTAAATTACAGTTCAGAGCCTGTGCAGAGTGATGTGAACAAAATAGCACCAGGCCTTTCCTGACATCTGATTTCTGACTTCCCAGTCCCCAGCACAAAGTGTAATCCATAGCATCAATCTGATTGATCTGGGTTAGTAGATTCTATCCGCAGCGAGGAAATGATTAAGAACTGTTCTGAACTGATGCTTTCAGCTCTGAGTCTGTACTGAACAAGCTCTTCTCAATTATCAGGGGAGGGCTTATTTTACTGAAGATGGCAATTTGCCCTTCATGTGAGAGGTAACAGTAGTGATTAAAGCACTTGCTTTCTGCAATGCTCTTTTGAAGAGCATGAGTCAGTTGTATTGGGCTAAATCAAATCTTAATGCTCTGATGTGTGCAGTTCTTCAGTTCTTCAAAGCATCTTCAATGCTTTTTCTTTTGTGTGCAGTTATTCAGTATTTAATATTCCGTTTAGTGTTTTACAGTATGTTCAGCTTTAGATCCATTTTGGACTTCAGCATTTTTCTGTTAGTTTTTATGTTAGTTCAAAACTAAAAATCTCATATTTCTGTTTAGAGGATAATCGATGCCCTAGAAGAAGAAAAGCAGTTCCTCACCATGTCAATCACAGATTACCTGAAGGATTATCAAGAACTGCTGCAGGTGAAAGCAGGCCTCATCCTTGAAATTGAAACCTACAGGTAAGAAATCTACTTTGAGTCTCAGATCAAGACTCCTTGTATATATTGTGGTTTGTTAAATATAGTGAATGGTCCCCTAATATCAGTTTTGAGCTGACTATTGGCTTGTTCTGTGACATGGGTCACTATAGCATTCTGTGCTTGCCTGTGCTGTCTGTGAAAGGAAGGTAACACCCCTTCTGAAGGCTGCTAATACATGTGGAGTTATCTGCAATCTCTAGGAAAAGTGTAAGAATAGTAAAATACCATTGCTTTTTGATAACCCTGATAAGAATTACTAGTGGGCAGAAGTGACTGAAATTTGCTCACTTGAGCAAGCATCTCTGGTAGTAATTATTTCTATTCCTCTGACCCCAGAACAACATGTTAGAGAAGCCCACATACACCATTAGGAATCCTGTTGCCTTTGCATAAATATAGTGATGTAACCTTCTTAGTCCTGGTCAAGCTGATACCAAATTGATGCAAATTGTTAATGCAATATTTGATTCCAAGCTGAGGAGCCAGTATCCTTAAAATGCAGTCAATAAAAGATGTGGGAGTGTAGTTGCCATCTGCCAACTGATATGTAACCTATCTTTGCTTAAATAGGTTGCTCAGTGTCCACCTGCAATATTAATGTAAGTAGCAAATTCCTCATTCTTGTTTCAGTTGTAGGATAGTGGGAAGATAACAGACAAGTCTGTTTGATGAAATACTGGCTTTCTCCATCCCTAGTTTGTTACAGAAAGATGTTTGAATCAATTGTGAGATACTAGCAAACAACATCTCTGCTAATGAACCTTCAGTTCTCTGTTTCTCTCTAGCCACTTAGGAGCTGTGGGGTTGAAAAGCCAGAGTAATTTTCCTGTCTGGAGAATCATGATATATCAGTTGGCACATGGCATAAAAGTGATTTAGAAGGAAAAAAACACCAACAAACCAAAACCTATTAACATGGGGAAGATATTACCTTATTGTAAAGATCATGTCTTTTTCTACAACTTGGACAATACTTTCAATAAATTTCATTGATCTTCAAATACAGAGGAGTTCAGTTCCTTTTGCACTAAGTAATAATTTGCAAGCATTTAATGTCAGCCTGGTTTTGTATGCTTTTTAAGGAGTATGCCTCAGTCATTAGCTTGTCAATATTGTGTGCATTATTCATATTCAACCTGAATAAAGAGACAGTGGTGTTACTTGTTATATATGGTATATGCTTCTGTGTCCTGAAGTGTGAGCACTGTGTTCTAAGCCTGTAATATTGCTTTGAACCAGTGAGCAGCTAAGTCTGGATAAAGAGGGCACCAGCAGAATTGTGAGTGAGATTGAATAGATTGAAGTAATCTACTGATAACTGTAAAGTTTAATTGTGGCTGCATAACTGAAAATATGAGAAGCCTGAAAGAGTAACTTCTGAGTAGCTTGATAACAGACTAGTGAGCAAAGGATGTCTCTAGTCCATCAAAGAGCAAAAAAGGTCTGTTCAAGATGCCTCCAGTAGTGTGTGCTATGAGGTGCAGACCAAGGCTGGCTTCTGGGCAAGATAAAATCACAGGCATTATATGAGACAAGTAATTTGCAGTCAACTGGTGAGCGCCAGTACCTGGATGTTTGTTGGTGGAGTAGGATCCCTGTGCATTACTGGTAGAAGAGAAACTGTGGGAACAGTAGCCAGCTGTGATCCTTATCTCTGTGAGTGTTAATTCTGTTAACTTTGCTAAAACATGTGAGTCTTGTAAAAGTAATCCTAGCTCTGATGTTGACTTCTACTATTGTCACTTAAACTTTCTCCGTGGTTTATTCATCTGCAAAATGGAGTTAGCACTATCACAACAACAGAATTACTGAATTGTTTCAAAGATGAGTATTCATCCGGAAGTAGGAATGATAATGCCCAGATACTTAGTCATTTGGACACCCTTTTAGTTATTAAGTGAACCATCAGTGCTTCTGTTCTGTGAAACCTTGTAAGCCCATTAAATTCTGGAACTTCTCCAGAGGTCGTATCACTGCTTATCTGAGCATCATTAGTTTGTCTAAGAATTCTCTCCCCTCCTAGTGAAAGGGGAACAATTCAGCATCACCTGCAGCATATGTTTGTTTTCCAGTTAAGAGGCTCCTTAGCCTGCAGGGTTTCTTTGTCTGATTGTAGTGAATACAAGTTGTATCACTGATTGTGTTGGCAAGGCAGACTTCAGTGGGCAAATTAGCATCTATCTACTGAAAAAGAGGTCTTGCTACAAATCAGAAAACAGGCTAGCCAATGCCTGAAAACAAAATTAATTTAAAATATCAGAGGTTGTAAAGTGATTGTTTTAATTTATGTTTTTACATTTATGCAGTATTACCTATTCCTCTTTTCTTTTTATTTTCCCTTCACTTAAAAAGTACCTCCTTCCCTACTGCATGCCTTTATCAAAGCTGCATGGGAAGGAATCCGTATGGATCCAGTTAGCAAGCTGTCTAGTAATAGAATCCTGGTCTGCTCATCTATGTCCTTCTTCAAATCCGGTTCCTCTCCCAGGTCTTTCTATCTGTGATAACCAGAGCATGTGAAGCCACCTTCAGGATACTGACACAGACCCTTGCTAATGCTTACTGGAAACAAAAGGCTCCTATTCACACTTAGTTAACATTCTGGACTTCTGTTAAGAGATTTCCATGAGGGCCTTGGCACCTCCTCTTCTCCTGGCATTGTAGGTTAAGGGTGTGACATCTGATCTGCTTCTCCAAGCTTTCTTTGTACCTCCCATCCTGTGTTTTCTCTTTGTTGTACAAGAACCTTCAAAACAGGGTCCTGTTTTAAAGCCAGCTCTTTCCATTAGTCAGCACTGCTCCTGGACTGGCATGAAGGATCATTGTTGTATGGAACACCCTTCCCCAAGGACCAAGTGTATTTCCTCTCTGATTCTACTCACCCTTCCTGCTCTGGGAGCTGAAGCTCACTCAGGAAGTGAAATGTCTGTCTTACATGGCTTTATGAAATTATACCTCATAGGACTCTTCAGTCCCAAACCGTTTTCACCAGTGTTGAAGTAAATATTTATCAAGTGCCTTGCAGTTTTGTTCTGTGTTCCTGGAATGCTGCAAAACCACAATGATTTAGTTTTATTTCCAGGGGGAAATGGTGAATTATTCACTATGTAAGACTCTTAATTTTAAAAGGAGATAGAGAATCTGCCTAGGATCAGCATTACTGTCAAGCCTTTCTCAGCTATCAGAAGCTCCTTTTCAAATAGCAGAGGCTACCCAGAACCTCTATTATAGGTTAAGGAGTTTTTCTGCCCTCTCTAAAGTGTGTTGACATTCAAGGGTGAAAGATTTTACTTTGAAAACCTAGGGCCCTGCACGTGTTCTTTTCTAGGTTATTACCCTGCATTTTGAAACAGTGGAAGCTACAAGGTTGGGTTTTTAATTACTTTTTCTTTTTGCCATGGTCCTTGTCAGGATCTCTCAATACACTTGCCAGGCATACTTTCCAGTCCTCCTTCAGCTTCTTTCCTCCATCAACATTTCTTGTGATCCTTTCCATGTCTTCCTCTTGAGAAATTATCACCAGCAATAAGGCCTCCTCAGCTACTCACCACAGGCAGTTCCATCATTTCCTGTTTACAGCTTGTACCATCCAATATGTCCTATTCTGTATTTGTTTTATTTTGAGTACTTTCTGATTTTTCCACACCCAGGGAACTTTAACATGCATTCAGTTACCTGCTGTTATTCACACAGTCCTTGTCCTCCCATCCCGTGAGGGGGGGAAAAGATGTGAAGTGACCTTCACCCATGAAAATGCTTCCTTCCTTCAGTTTCCTGGAGAGGTTTGGGTTTTTACAAACTCTTTC